CCTGGCTCCTGGCTTCAGATCGGCGCAGCTCTAGCTGTTGCAGCCATTTGGGGAGTGAACCAATGGATGGAAGATCTTTCTTTCTCTCTCTCTGTCTGTAACTTTACCTCTCAAATAAATAAAATATTTTTTTTTAAAAGTTAACATTGTTAGAAGTAAATAAATTGTATTATCTTCTCCAAAAGAGCTTTTTGTTTCATTTTCTCCAATGATTTCCTATTTTCAATTTCATGATTTCTGCTCTAATTTTATTTTTTGTTCTGTATACTTTGGGCTTATTTTTTTTCCCTTAATGTCGAAACTTCTTACAGTAGTGGTTTTAGATAATCTTTTCTGATAACCCATTAAAATAAATTTTCTAGTACACACCACTTTCACTATATCCCACAAACCTCAATCAGTTGTATTTCTACTTTTAGCCAATTTGAAATATATTTTAATTTCCAAAGACTTCTTTGATCCATGTTTCCTTTGATCTCCAAGAATCTGAGGATTTCCCAGCCACACTTACATGTTATTGATTCCACTGCTGTCGGGAGCACAGCTCCCAGGACTCCTACTCCTTACATTTAATAAGGAAGGCGGGAAAATGGATTCCTCGTGGCAGCAGCCGGGGACCCTGTGCAGCCTGGACCGGGCTCTCTCTGCCCGGACCACTGAGGCTTACCTGAGAGTCGGAGATGACGGACTCGCAGACGCCGCTGCCCACCCCGCTGACCCGAGGGTCGGCAGAGCTTCTTAGATGCTCCGCAGCCTGAGCTGACCACTGCCCACCGCCCCCCGGAGAACGGGCATGCGCAACCCCCAGCACACGCAGGCGCTGGGTAAGGCTGTGACCAGGCCCTGGAGCAGCCTTTAGGTTTATTTCAAATCGCTTTCAGGTGCTGGAACTCAGGTGCTGGAACTCAGCTGAGGCGAGTGAAGAGGCAGTCTTTATTTATTTATTTATTTATTTATAAGATCATTTGAAAGGCAGAGTTAGAGGGAGACACACCTGCACAAATCTCTCTCCCTGTCTCTCCCTCTCTCTCCCTCTCTCTCTCTCTCTTCCTCTTCCTCTCCCCCTCTCTCTTTTGTCTCTCTCTTTCTCTGTCTCCCTCTCTCTTTTCCATCTACCGATTCATTCCCCAGACGGCTGCAACAGCTGGGGCTGGGCCAAGCCAAAGCCAAGGACCAGGACTCCATCCAGGTCTCCCACGTGGGTGCAGGGGCCCAAGCACCCGGGCCATCTTCTGCCGCTTTCCCAGGCTAGTTAGCAGGGATCTGGAGCGGACGTAGTGCAGCGGGGACTCGAACCTGCGTTCATGTTGGGCGGGCACAGCAGGTGCTAACTGGAAGCTCAGCACAAAAGCAGCAACCTTGATGAACCAGGAAGTCTGGGAGGAAGCCCGGGAGGAAGCCCAGCCGGCAACAGTGCAGGGCGGAATCCCCAGGGAGTGTCCCGGCAACCAAAAGGCAGGGCACCTCTCCAAAGACAATGCATGCTCTGAGCCTCCCGTGAGGCCACCCACAGGCCCAGTCCCCTGCTCCCCCGGGGGGGGGGGGGGCTCGCCCTTGACCCTGGACTAATTGGAGCACTCTGTGCTGCACTCGCAGTACAGTTTACGTTTGATAGTATTGTTTGATACTTTAAAACTACTTTGCATTTGAAAAAAACTTAGTAAGGTGGTTTCCTGGCCTATCATGTGTCTTATTCTGCTGCATGTTCTCTGTATGTTCAAGCATGTACAAGCATGTGTATCTCTGCTGTACTGGGTGAAACCTTCTGGAGGTGTGACCTATCCTTGGATCTGTCAATCACTGCTAGAAGCCTGCCGAGGTCTCCAGACACAATAGTGGATTGGACAGGGTGTGAATAGGCAGGCAGCTGGTTAAGCCTACCTGAGCTGCAGTCCTGGCAAGCCCCACAATAGGGTGCTATCTGTCAGTCAGACATGCCCACCTTCCCAAGATGCCCCTGGGCCTGACGGGGAACCAAGGAGGGGAGACGGCGGGATCTCCTTAAACTGCGTGGAGGTGCCGTGAAATTCCCAGACGGCTTCCCCCATGCTAAGGCACCGCCCCTGCCTCATAAAAGAGGCTGAGAATAATAATAATAATAACAACAACAACAACAGAGGCCCCTTTCACCACGGAGCACGGGTAAGGGGTGCTATTCATGTGCTTTCTCCAGCCTACTCAGGTGGGTGTTTCTCTGTGTGTGTGTATGGGAGGGCACACTCCCGGGTGACCCTGTTTTCTCCCTCACTGCTACATAAATCTTGTTTTCACTTGTGTTCCCTACAATATCCCTGCTTAGAATTCTTCTCTCTGTGTGGACAAGAATCTAATTAGAAATCAGGATGCTCTGAGCCTCTGTTTTCCAGCGTTTGCCGCACACATTTTGATGCTGTTGTTAGATGCATATCCATTAAGGAATGTTGGATCTTCTTTGAGAATTTACCCCTCTTCATCTCTGATAATCTCCCTCGTGCCGAGGTCTGCTTTTTGTCTGTTTTGAAAAGATGTATTCGGGCCTGTGCTGTGTGCAGTGGGTTAAGCTGCTGTCGGCAGTGCCGGCATCCCTTATGGCCACCAGTTCGAGTCCCAGCTGATCCACGTCTGATCCAGCTCCCTGCTAATGTGCCTGGGAAAGCAGCGGAAGATGGTCCAAGTGCTTGGGCCCCTGCACCCATGTAGGAGCCCAAGATAGCATTCCAGGCTCCTGGCTTTTGCCTGGCCCAGCCCTGGCCATTGTCGCCATTTGGGGAGTGAACCAGAGGATGAAAGATCTCTCTCTCTCTGTTACTCTACTTTTCAAAATGAATAAAATGAAAGTTTTTTTTTTAATGGCTACAACAGGGGGCCGGGCCAAGCCAAAGCCAGGAACCAGCACCCAGTGCATTAGCAGGGAGTTGGATTGGAAGCGGAACAGCTGGGACTTGAACTGGTGCTTTGATTATGGGACGCTGGCATGGCGGGTGGCAGCTTGATGAACTGTGCCAGAACGCGGGTCCCTGCTCTGTCTGAAATAGAGGCGTTGCAGCTTTTTTTTTTTTTGGGGGGGGGGTGCTAGTATGCTGCATCTTTCTCCATCCCTTTGTAATCTGTGTCTCTCTCAAGCCTTATTGGGTGATGTAAGCTCTTTTATACACAGGCATCCGTGTCATGATTTGACTGCAATCAGGAGGGCCTTCCCGAGAGCTGAGCCAATGCAGGTGCCATGCCCTTGAACCTCCCAGGCTCTGGGATAAGCCTTTTCTCTTTAGCTGCCTCTGGTATTCTGTTGTAATAACACAAGGCTGGCCCAGCACACCTGATACACCTTTTGCAATTGTCTCACAGTTCTCAGATATTCTGTATTTTTCTTTGCGGCTTAAGTTTCTTCAGGCTTACTGATTCCTCCCTCGGTTGTGTCCAGTCTGCTGGTGAGTCCATCATTCGTTCCGTTAGTGCTTCAGTTCTCTAGCATTTCCGCTGTTTGTTTCCGTCTCTGCTGGTATTTCCAATCTGTGGTTGTGTATTGTCGGTTTTTCTCATTGGAACTCTCAGCATATCAATCATTATGATTTTAAATTCTTGGGAGGTGGGGCACATCTAGGGAAGATCTTCATAGGCGACTCTTAAAGGAGAAGTAGGGACCTGCCAGGTGGACTGATAGGACGCCGAGCAGGATGGATGGTTTTTACGAAAGAGAACGACGTGCTCACAGAAACTGCAGCACAACCAGCAGCGTGGGGAAGACGCCTACACGTGTCCTCCTACCTAAGTGAAGGATCCTGTAAGGTACTGACACCAAATGGTTAAGATACAGGACCAGCAATTATGGGCGAAACCTAGGTGAGCTGGTTTAGGCAGTATCTCTGTATCCTTCAATCTTCCAAGAAACTGGTTGATCATTTTGTCCTAGGATTCCCAAAGATAACTGATTCTGACTTCACAATCCCAAATGCTCTGACAACTGAGGGTTCAAATGATATTTCACTAAACTGCAAACCAAGATTTCCCCTGAGTTGAGGCTGTTGCGCTGATCTGTGCAAGGCAAGCTGAATTTGACAGCTCTTGTTCCAGCATGATGTCAGCGCCAATACACGCTGCGGTCCACTCACGCACCGCCACCCTCCCCATCACCACGCACTGGACCCTCCAGAACTGGGAGCTACACAAACCTTCCTGTCTCTAAAGGCAGCTGCCTCTGGTATTTCACCGTAGTCGGGAGTCCCTAATACAATCACCGGAGCTCAGACCTGCCGAGTTCCACCTTGCACCTTTGACGAGCCTCGGCTTGCCGACCCTCACTCCGCCTAACCTCACGCTGTCCCGGGTCCCACACCGAGTGTTTCCCCACCACGGTCCTCTGAACTTCAGCTGCTCGTCCCACCTGTTCCTCTGCATGTCCTCCGGAAAGCCTCAAAGCACTCACTGCTTTATGAATGACAGACGGAGCGGTGCTGGGCCCACGGCAGGGCCACACGGACAGACATCCACAGAGGTGTGCGCACAGCCTTCAGGGAAAGTGTGCGTCGACTCTCACACCGTTGCCAACCCCGGGGAAGTCAAGTGCTTCCTTAAATCACGACATACGCATTTCAGCTCTGTGCAATTAGCAACTTCTTTTTTTTTTTTATTTTTATTTTTTTATTTTTATTTTTTTTATTTCGACAGGCAGAGTGGACAGTGAGAGAGAGAGACAGAGAGAAAGGTCTTCCTTTGCCGTTGGTTCACCCTCCAATGGCCGCCTGCTGCAGCCGGCGCACCGCGCTGATCCGATGGCAGGAGCCAGGAGCCAGGTGCTTTTCCTGGTCTCCCATGGGGTGCAGGGCCCAAGCACCTGGGCCATCCTCCACTGCACTCCCTGGCCACAGCAGAGGGCTGGCCTGGAAGAGGGGCAACCGGGACAGAATCCGGCGCCCCGACCGGGACTAGAACCCGGTGTGCCGGCGCCGCTAGGCGGAGGATTAGCCTAGTGAGCCGCGGCGCCGGCCCGCAATTAGCAACTTCTAATATGTGGTACTGTCGCTAATTATTGGAGACGCACAACTTAGCACTTTGCCATGCCACGCACTTACTCTGCAATCATTTTAGTCATGTACGTTTTACACGTATAATTACATGATAATAATGTGGTTCCTAGTGCACCAATGTAACATAAATGTAGGAAGTGACTTCTGTCCACCGATTCATTAAATTCACTGAAGCATCTAGCAGGGCAGTTAAAATTAGTGATAGTAAATATCAATCTTCTTTGATTTTTTAGTTTTTCTTTTTTTTTTTTTGATGTTGTATGAATAAGTCATAAGAAATAAAAAGTTCAGATTTTTTTATGTTGACAAAAATTAAATATAACTATTTCAGTGTTTTAAAATGGCCTCTATTTTCTTTGAGTTTCTTTTCAAATCTCTGGAAACACATCCCCACCAAAGAAGAGGGGCTACGTGGACTTGCTAGTGCAGCACACACGCCGGCGTATGCAGAGGGAGGAACAGGGAAGGGCTTCGCTCTTGCCGCTCTCGGCCATGTCGGCACTGGGGTCTGGCCTGCACGCACCGTGTTGGAGCAGCACGAAGCTGCGTCACGCGTCCCTTTGGGAATGCGGGAGGAAGGCGGGGCGTCCGTCCCCCTTCTCCGGTTGCTCCTGCTTCCTTCTGGTCAGAGGGGGCGCCGTCGGCTTAGCGCTCGGCTGGCTGCACGCGGCGGCTTGAAGAGTCTTGTCTTTGATAACATTGGCCTCCATGTCGGAACTCGAGGGCACGGTCTCCCATCTGCCGCGGAGCGCTTTCAAGTCTTCAGTCCTTGCGTCCCAGAACGGAGACTGCTTTATCCTCTTCTTGAGGCCTTTAAGAGGTGACAAATCTTCCTGCGACCTCTGGGGCACGGAGGGGAGCCACTCTGGAGGCTCGGCTAGCAGGTGCCTTTGGCATATAAAAGTAGGATTTCTTGGTGGCGTCCAGGACGTGCTGTATCTCTTCATATTTATGCAAGTGGCTGACCTTAGTCTATAAAAGAAACGAGATACATGATTTTTTGGTTTGTTTTTTGCCATTGATGTACCTACTTTGTAGTCCTAGTACATGGTTATAGTATAAGCCATATTTTTCCCTTTTGGTGAGTTTGTCCTGCTGTTAGACTTCCAAGAGACTGAAGTATTCATCTCTAGTCCTATGTTCTCAGCACTACTTCAGTGCTGTCTTTCCAGGTGCCTAGAAGACGTGGGATTTTTTTAGAAATTCTATTTTTCAATCACAGAATTTCAACCACATTTTAATTAAGCTTTCACATGCTGAGATAATTACAGACTTACACACATTTGGAAGAAACAATCCAGACAGATCCCGTGTGCCCTTTGCCGAGTTTCTCCCGAATGTGACATCTTGGAAAACCACAGTGCGTTATCATAATCAGGATGTGACGCTGACGTGGCCGAGACACAGAGGAATGCCCTCTCGGTGCCCTTTTATGGAGCCTACTTCCCTCTTTCTCTGTCCGCTCCCCTGAACTCCTAGCAACATTAATCTGTGATCCAATTAAAAATTTTATCTCAAAAATGTATTAATGAAACTGGACAGTGTGTAACCTTCCGGGGTCAGCATTTTTCAGCAAGATTCTCTGGTGATTCGTCCAGGTTGTTTTGCGTATCAGTAGTTCATTCTGCAATAGTGCTGAGTGGCAATCCCTGGGATGGCTGTCTGAGCACACAGCTTAATGATTCATTCATGGAAGGTCATATGACTGTTTCCAGTCTATGCCTAGTACAAACAGAGTGACACTGATACTTGTTTACAGGCTTCCGTGTGAGCTGAAGTCTTCATTTCCCTGGGAATGAGTAGCAGCAATTGCTGGGTAATACAGTAGTTACATATTTAGGTTTTGAAACATTTTTGTTTACTTCCATCATATTTTAAAGGTAGACAAGGAGAGGGAGAAGGGAGAAGAGAGAGGGAGAGAAAGGGAGAAAGGAAGAAAGAGAGTAAGAGAGAGAGAGAGAGAAAATCTTCATTCTGTTGGTTCACCCTCCAAATGTTCACAACAGCCAGGGACCCAATTTCTTCTTCTTCTTTTTTTTTTTTTTTTAAATTTTTTGACAGGCAGAGTGGACAGTGAGAGAGAGACAGAGAGAAAGGTCTTCCTTTACAGTTGGTTCACCCTCCAATGGCTGCCGCGGCTGGCACACCGCGCTGATCCGATGGCAGAAGCCAGGTACTTACCCTGGTCTCCCGTGGGGTGCAGGGCCAAGTACTTGGGCCATCCTCCACTGCACTCCCTGGCCACAGCAGAGAGCTGGCCTGGAAGAGGGGCAACCGGGACAGAATCCAGCGCCCCGACTGGGACTAGAACCCGGTGTGCCGGCGCCGCAAGGTGGAGGATTAGCCTAGTGAGCCGCGGCCCAAGGGACCCAATTTCTTGAGACATAACCTGCTGCCCCCCAGGGCGTGTACTGGCAAGACGCTGGAATCAGAAGCAGAGCTGCGACCCAAACCAAGCACTCTGATGTGGGATGCAGGCATCCCAACAGTATCTTAGCCACTGTGCCAAATGCCTGCTCCCCTATTCGGCTTTCTAAGAAACTGCCAAACTGTTTTTCCAGAGAGGCTAATCCATTCCACATTCTCACCAGCCATATGTAAGTGATTCAATTTCTCCGCAGCCTCACTGACATCTGGCGCTGTTGCTGGTTTTCATTTTAGCCTGACAATGCGCAGTGCTCTCTCATTGCGTATTTAACTTGCATTCCTCTAACTGAGCATCTTTTAACGTGGTACGCAGCGTCAGTATCTGCTGTATGGTGAAGTGTCTCTTAATGTCTTTTGCTCATTTTCTAAAGTGAAATGTCTTCTTAATGTGGAATTTTGAGAGTTCCTTCGCCTCACTCTTATTTATGTAGTTTGCCAGTACTTTCTCTTATTTTCCAGTTTGCATTTTATATACTTCTCAGGATCTTTTACCAGAGAAAATGTTTTTTATTTGGTAAAGCCCAATTTATCAATTCCTTTTTAATGAATCAGGCTTTTGGAGCCAAGCCTAAGAGCTTTATTGTGCATTATTAAGACCATGATCCATTTTGAACTTGTGTCGAGTAAGATGTGAGTTCAAGTCACATCTACTTTTCGGCCTGTGGAGGTCCAACTGTCCCAGCACCACCTTTCCTGCACTGACTGGCTTTGGCATTCTTGTCAAAATCAGTTGCACATGCTGTGCGTGGGTCTGTTTCCGGGTTCTCGGTCCCCTGGTCAGTGTCTCTCCTCCAGTGCTACACTGCCTGTGTGTGCAGCTGTGTAACAGGAGCTGAAATCACGTAAGTGAATCCTCCCTCCTTATCCTTCTTTTTCAAATTGTTTTTTGTGATTTAAACATCTTTGCATACACAATTTAAAATCATCTTGTCTATTTTTACCAATTCTTGCTCTTATTTGGTGGGGACTGTGTGGAACTTGTGTACCAGTTTGGGAAGAACTGAATCCTTTTTGTGCTGAGTCTCCCAATCCGTGAACATCCTGTGTTCTCCATTCGCTTAGCTTCCGGATTTCTCTTATTCACGCTGTGTAGTGTTCAACATACAAGCCCTGTGCGTATCTGTAAACTGATAACTACGTATCTCATTTTTTGAGATGGGTCTATATTTGTCCACATGCTCATGGCTTATTTACAGCAGTACTGCTAACCCCAAAGCCTAGCAGAACTTGTCAGTTCTGAATCTTTTTTTTTTCTTTTTGAAATTCCTTTGGATTTTCTACCTAGAAAATAACCTATTTTGTGAATAGAGACTATTTTATTTCTTCCTTTCTGACCTGTTGCTTTATCCCCCCTTATTATTACCTCATTACAGTGGGTAGAACTTCAAGCATAATGCTGAAGGGGGTGATGAGATTGGATCTTATCAAGTTGAGTAGGTTTCCTTCTATTCCTAATTTTTTTCTGAAATTTTTTTGTCATAGATAATTGTCAAATTTTGTGAAATGCTTTTTCTGTGCCACATACTATGATCGTGTGGGTTCCGTCTTCTGCCTGCTCACGTAGGGGATCACACTGATTTCTGAATGCTGTGACAGCCTTTGGTCAGGGTATATAATTCTTCTTACTAGTATTGAATTACATTTGCTAATACTTTGTTAAGGATTTTAAAATCTGATTTATGGGGGATCTTATTCTGTTATTCTCCCCCACCCCCTTCCTATTTTTATGGTTTTGTCTTTGGTTTTGGTTATCAGGACAACAGTAGTTTCATAACATGAACTCTTATGTTTTCTGGGAGAAACTGTGTAGAATTTGTGTTAATTAAATGATTCACAAAATTCTGTGAATATGGGCCAAGAGATTTCTTTTGGGGGGGGGTTAAAATTATGAATTTGGGAGTGAGACAGCAGCTGAATTAGATGCGCCAGCCGTGGATTCCCAAAGAGACAGCTACCGGATAGCTATTCATAAACCAAAGGACCTTCACAGCGGCTCAGGGAGCCAGGTGGAATACCAGAGTGCCTGGCTTCGGTCTGGTGATACAAAGATGCCTTGAAGAAAGCAGAAAGCAAAGAACTGTCTGTTCAGTCCTCTCCTAAAACCAAGCAGCACAGCATGGACAGAGATGCCTCCCACTTGAGCAGGGAGACGGAATTATGCTCAGATCTCAGAGCTACGAAAACTCAATCCCAGCTCTAGACAGAGGCCCCTGTCCCCCGGCCACTGGCACACACAGATCCTCCTCCCCCAGATGGCCGAGGGAGTACTTCCACCGCCTTTCCCCCAACTGTAGGCAGCACAGTGAGGACAGGGCAGGAAAAGGAGCCCAGGACTTTCCTTAGAGCTTAGTACCAATGGCACTGTGGGGAGCCCCCCGGCACCACGCAGGGCTGAAAGGCCTTAGTGCCCAGGCCACCGCTCCCAGACAGAACCTGTAGGCCTGCCCAGCAGCAGGTGGAGACCTGTCCCGCCATGGGATGGACTTAGACTTTGGCTGCCTTACTACCAGCTGTGGCATGGGTCTGGTGTGCCCGTCCCACTGCCCCAGTACACACACGGTACAGGTCCCTGGGTTGTGAGACTCAGGTGTGACCCAGTTCAGCGTCATCCTGGGTGGCCAAGGAGCCGTCTTCACCGGCCTCTTTGGACCTTGGGCAGCACAGCGAGGAGCAGAAGTCCTCCACTAGAGGGTAGGGCAGGAAGGAAGCACAGGACTGTGTCTTATAGCTGTCAGACTGGTAACCTCACACTGGGCAGGTCTCAGTGCTTCCATCTCCAGTCCAGTGCCTATGGGCGGAGCTTCTACATGCCCTGGTACAGGTGGGGACACAGGGCACTAGTTGATCAGACTTCTATGCAGCGAGTATCACCTATGACTGGGCAGGGCAGGCGTGGGCCATTTGTCCACCTCAGTAGCAGAAAGCACTGCGGCTGGTGCACTGTGGGCTCTTAGTGCAATTTATCTGATCATTGGTGATCATCCAACTGCACACACCATTCCATCCCAAACCCCAGGCAACACAAAACAGAGAGAGTGACTGTCCACCCATGGGATGGAAATGAAAACGGATGGCACGTCACACTGCACAGGAGCCTGGAGCCGGTCCCTCTGCAGTAAGGCCTAGAAGCCTGTGGAGTCTGATCACAGGCCAGTAACTTCACGTGAGGCACTGGGGCCTGCCTCGACCAGATGGAGGCTCGCAGGCAGGGGCTGTCATTTCGGGAGCTCCCTTTGTTCATTCTGGACAACCCAGCAACCGCGGACTTGGGACCGAGCTGTGCTCGGGTAGGCTCTAGGCCCAGCACAGTGACGGCGCACAGCGCACGTGTCAGATGCGGACTTAGAGTGGCGTCCGTGCTGAAACAGAAGGGTCCACGTGCTCGGAGAGGAACAGCAGACTGCTCAGAATTCCAGGAAGACAGGCACAAACACGGCGCTGTGAGGAAGACCGGACTGAACAGCGACCCTTCGGTGCAGACGATGCTGTAAGTCACGCACCAGGAACCTGCAGGGATCCACGACTTACCTAATGGACAAAGAGGG